AGCTAGAAAGCTGAAACTTTCGGGGAATGTTCCCCACTCATGTACGAGCAAAATCAGGTGTTTAGAAGCGCGCGAGCCCACGTACGAGCACTTGGAAATTTTGGCGCGAAAATTACTAAGCCGGGAACGAGAAAAGCTAAAAAGCTGAAACCTTAAGGCAATGTTCCCTACACATGCACGAGCAATATTAAGTGTTTAGAAGCGCGCGAGCCCACGTACGAGCACGTGGAAATTTTGGCGCAAAAATTACTAATCCGGAAACGGGAAAAGCTAGAACGCTGAAACTTTAGGGTAACGTTCTCTACTTATGTATGATCAAAAAATTTTAAATTCAGCTCCTCAAAACCGTCCGGTACTCACGTACAGAATGTGAAAATTTTGATGGGAAAATTGCTGACTCGGAAACGGGAAAAGCTGAAGGCTTTAATTTTAAGGGAATGTTTCCTGCTCATGTGCGACTAAAAGATTTTAAACTTAACTCTTCTAGTGTGGTCTTTTTTTGCGAACCAGCAAGTTTCCATTTGTCGGGTCACTTAAGTCGACATCTACAACTGAAATGCCACATAGCTGCATAATTAATTTCCCGAACTTCGAGGGCCAGTATTTCACAGAGTTAGCTACTTTGATTCCTTGTGATCTTGCTATGGCACGAAAAGTGCAAAAACGCATAATCGCACCGGCCCGCTTGGTGTGTTCCAGCCTGGGGTTGCATAGTTCCCCGCAGTTTTTGTTGCTACCGACACTGGCTTTTTCGGCAAATGCTTCTAGCTAAACAAATCAAGGCTGGCCGCCAGAACTGTCAGAAAACACCCCCTTAAAATTTCAGCTTTCTAGCAACCCTGGCTCCTGAGTTGGAAACTTACTAGAAAAAAATTTTCATGGACTCGTGCGTGTTTACCACGCATATCCAAGAATTAGGTTTGAGCTGAATGAAACTTAAGTGGACGGGGTATATTTTCATAAAATTACAGTCTTTTAGCTTCTGAGGTACTCGAGTTATCAACCTGCCCGAAAAAAATTTTGGCGGGCCCGTACGCGGGTACCACGCTTACCCGGAGGCACGGGTTGAGCTCACTAATACCCACTTGGACGGGAAACATCATCCTAAAATTTCAGCCTTCTAGCATCTCAGGACCCCGAGTTATGAATTTACGCGGGAAAAATTTTGGCAGGCCCGTACGCGCGTACCACGTTTACCCGGGGGTTGGATTTGAGCTTATTAGCACCTGCTTGGATGGGGAACATTCCCCCAAAATTTCAGCTTTCTAGCTTTTCTGGTTCGCGAGTTATCAACTTACCCGAAAAAATTTTGGCGGGCTCTTACGCGGGTATCACGCGGGTAAGACCGCCCATTTCGGGGATGGGGGCCCGTACGTGCATGTAGACTATGTCCCCGAAGTTACAGCCCTGTAGCTTTTGCCGGTCTCGAGATGAAAAGTCGGTACAGACGAACACACAGACACACACACAGACAACCCCTCCTCAATATGCGTTTTTTGCATTGCATAGCTGCAAAAAACGCATAATAAAAAACAACTCACGCAATGTGTATCCATATCCAGAAAAAGCAGAAGCCATGTCGAGATGCTGCAGTTATTACAGAAAGACACTCTTCCGGAGCCGAACTAAGCCTGTTAATAAATTCAAACTGATAAAAAATCATGTAAAAATCTGCATCCTATCTCTTACACGCTTCATTTTTCTTCCGTTTAGAAATATCAAGAATAAGATCAGTGAGGCAATCAATGTGAATAATCTCTTTAGTGATGTTACTGGGATGATCCCATACACTCGGCTCAGATATTTTCCAGGCCGCTCATTTCTTATGGAGGGTCTGCTTGCTTTGCATGGTTGCGATGAAAAACGCCAAGCATCCTTCGCTCCATTACTCTCTCCGTGCTCAGCCAGCGATCGCTCTCAACCTTTCTTACTGGCCACCTTTCGCATCTACATGCCAAATGCCTTTAGCACAGCGGCACTAAGCGGCACGGCACTTCCGGTCTGACACTCCTGGGACATCGACGATGCTGTGAAATTTGTGACCCTCTACTGGCTGGAGAATGTGACATGTACTTAATTCCTGACCAGGATAGACGTAGTTGTTATATTTTCGAAATACCAGTCAAAAACACTGAAATGTGAGAAGCAACATACAGCAGAGTGATCGCCTTATCGTTGAGTTGCATGGCATCTGCAATAGCGGGACATGAGCTGAACAAAGACAGCAAAACGGCCGATGAAGCACACGCACTTTTCGCTATTGGACGTTCACAGTTGAATTTGCATATTTCCACAAACAAGCCACAAGCCCACTGTAACAGCCAGAATTAAATAACGGTGCCAAGCAACAAATTTTCCCGCGTCAAACTGGACGTACCGTGCACATCTTTTCCAATATCACTGTGTTAAAAAAAAAGTGATGACTGGATGCAAAAAATATCGGAAACGAACGCAGAACAGCGAACTCTGGCTGTTGACGAAAAGCAAAAGATGACTAGAATATCTCTCCAAAAAAGTCTCGTCTAATGAGGGATAATACATGAGGTGCCGTAACTACAACAATATCCAGTATGTAGTGGCGGAAAATATTCCTCACTTTAAAACAACGATTGGACTTTGAGCCTTAACGTTTCGTTTAAAAGTCAGAAACCTCCTTTGTATTCACCCTCATTAAGAGACGTAGACACTCGGGAAGTAGCCCGATGAGTGGCAAATGTCAACAGCAATCACTCGCTTGTAAGGCTGCCCATGACTTTTGCTTCCGAGAGTTGCTTAATGGTGACAAGTTTGATTGCCTGGCATATGACAATGCCAATTTATAGCACTGTAACCGTTACATTGATGAGGATCTGTCGCGGTGTTGAGTTAAGGCCTATATGACTTAATAGACCTGAATGTCTTATCTCACTCCTACCTTCTTTTCTCATACTGTTCTTTCATGCTGTAATCTACCGCTGCCTCACCATTTAGGCTTCCAGGGTCAAACTGGTTGCTACGGTCAGCCTACCGTCGAAGCGAATGAACGAATCGTAGAGGGAGTGGTTGTCTCACCGGCGGAATCGTACATTCCATGCCTCCCGGGATACTCGTGTAAAATGACCACTCGGATGAATTGGCGTGTTGTGTAAATGAGACTGTGGACGGCTGGTTCTGGAATTTGGCTACAGCTACAAAGTCGTCAGTTCAGAATATTCTGTTGACGGCGATAAAATCTTATGAAAATTATGTCCAGTTTTTTCAGAGACTGCAGTAAAACAAAAGACACACGGAACCTTTAAAAAATACATAAAAAGACCTATCTGCTGAAGCGTTTTCATATGAAATTGTGCAACGAATGAAAAAAAAAATAAAAAATAAGAATAACCTCAACGATGTCAAATGCAAAGCCCACGGATTTTGTTTGTAGAAGTTGGCAGTAAAATTCATCAGTGAGCTTGCGAATTGCTTGCTCAATGTTGAGTGTGTCTGATGCTGCAACTAAGAGCAATGATCACTGGGTATTTTAATCAGCCGTGATTTCAACTCAGCGCGCGCACTTCCTCATTAATTCACTCGCCACATAACTCCTTAAATGTTTCCCTTTCGCCAGTCTCAATCCCGGCCGTGACTTCATCCTGTATGAGCATCATTCAGCAGCAATCCACTTCTCCCCTCTGTCATCTTCTATTGCTAAAGAGTCTGGTACGCTTATGAACCAAACTTCTCCATAACATTCAGTCTGCGCGTGTACTGCCGTCAGTGATTTGTTGATAAGTTTTGCAAGTCATGAAAATTCATTTTAACAATTATTTTCATACTGGACTGGACTATTTTCAGTTATTTTCTTACTTTATTTCCTTACTGATTCAACTATTTTCAATTATTTTTATTTTCTTACTTATGTGTGTATTTTCTTTCTTCGAGAAGTAGAGATGAGTGGCTTCGTGGATCAGCATGCCCGTGAAATTCAGTACGGCAGATCTGCAAAAACCACAATGAGTGACATTCCCCGAATAATCAGCAACTGAGTTAAAAAAAGAACGTATAATAGGATACAAAAAAAAAAACCTTTAAAAAAACTAAGGTACAACAACGATATCAAAAATGAAGGCATTAAGGTGTCCAAAAGAAAAGAGACTATCTTCTTCCTATTTCTGGTCGAAGAAGCGTCAATGTTTAGGCGTACAGTCATCTTAAACAAAATTACGCTTGCATGTCTTAAGGGAGAGACGCGCCTGGAATCGAACAACGCTTAGCGAAGTAAATTAGGCCAACAGCGAAAATTAGTTCACAACGATTTCAGGAACTCGCTAATCACTTAAACTGGGCTAAGCCTGGCTGAGGAGCGAATTGCGATGATTATGGTATAGATAGGCGGGTCCAGAGCGGGGGAGAGGGGGCGAAGGGTCTTCCTCCCAGCACCGCAGGCAACAGTACTGCAAAAGTCCTGGTCTAAAGCTAAAACTAAAGCCTAAAGTAACTCTAAGTAGTCGTGTTGCATGTTCCTAGTTTTGCATAGTCCCAGGGTCTCCCACCGTGGCTCCGCCCCCTTCCCCCTCCCCCAAGAGTCTGCCCTGGATCCGCCTATGAGGATGTGTCTCCTAGAATGAACGGGGCAGAGGTAGAGGTGAGTGGACTCTCTCGTTGCCGACTCACGGAACTGTCAATGTCAAATCCTGCATGACCGCATGTGAAATGTAGAACGGGCGCAATTTTTTTCATTGTCACCTATGTGGACAGCGAACGGCACCATAAAATTGCAGCTCCCCATTCAAATTCCCGCACTGGCAAAGTGCCAGCCAACCTGAGTCATGACATGCACGTACGTGATACGTGGGGATGCGAGAAGATTGAATTTAAATTTTCGGGCGCGAAAAATCCTCATGAAGCTTTAAGTCCTGGCTTTCCTGGCTCTCGAAATCGTTTTCTCGCCGAAGTATTCTTCACGTGTCTGTACATGAAAACCAGGAGGACGTGAGCGTTCATATCATGTCTTGGGACTGGCACATAATGGCAGAATAAACTGCCAAGGTTTTAGCTCCATAGGTTTCGTAGGTCTGGCGACCAAGATAAGCGGGCAGTTGAACGCAATTTCCCCGTCAAAACTTTTAAGCGCTCGTACGTCAGAACCACTCAAACATCCAGACGCACACACACAGACATACACACATAGATCAAATCACTATAAAAAATGCGTTTTTGCATGGTACAGATGTAAAAAATGCATGAAAAATGCCCAGTTCGAGAGCCTACATCACACTCTACAGTAGGGCCTGAAAATGAGGCACTGTGGATATAAGTTGCTCCCTCTGCATTAGAAATGCTGTGTTACCTGGAGGAGGGCACTTTGGCGAACACTGTGAGGCACGGATCTAGCAGCAGCATAAGATTGCTCTTCGCCCAGATAGGTCTCAAATTGAGGTTCCGATACACGGCGCCAATATCTTCTACCAGGCCAGCAATTGTGTAGAAATCGAAGAGATATCGCTTCACACCCTTAAAACAAACTGAGCTGGCTATGCTGATGCTCAAACTCAAAAGCTGTACATAACGCTTAAGTTATTCCTTCCTTGCTGCTCTTTATTTATTTGATTTTAGCAACATGAAGTAACGAGAAATCCCGAAAGTGAGGTAAATTGAAGACAATGAAACACACCCGTACAGGAATGACCTGTTCATTTCTTTGCGGCACGTGGCGTCTCGAACGGTGGACTATGCGCGTTCCACGCGAGGATGATGATTCAGGTGACAACATTCGGCCCATGTAGTAGTGCCAGTAATAAATCTCGCGTCCAACGGGGAAGTGAAAAAACCTACAAGAAAAAAAAAAAAAAACATCGAAAAGAGGCGCTTGGATGCAGCTTTCAAAAATCAGATGTGCAAAAAAGTGGGCGCTGACTTCCGGACTTCGGCTGATCAGCAAACTGAGCCAAGCCGGTCCAGCTCTGGTTAACTATTAAATTGAAAACGAACACAGTAATTGACGAAATTAGAAATTTCTCGTACTCGATTGCGAAAAACTTTTTATGTGTTTTTTGCAGCTATGCAATGCGGAAAACGCATCTTGACGAGAGGTTGCCTGTGTGTGTGCGTGTCTGTGTGTGCGCAGGGCCTCTCTACCGTTTTTTCATCTCGAGACCTACAAAAGCTGCACGGCTGAAACATTGGGAATTTAATCTACATGCACGTACGGGCCTCCTTCCCCAAAATGGGTGGTCTTACCCGCGTGGTACCCACATAAGAGCCCGCCAAAGTTTTTTACGGGTGAGCTGCTAACTCGCGAACCAGAAATGCTTGGAAGCTGAAATTTTAAGGGGATGTTCCTCACTCAAGTAGGTATTAAAGAGCTCAAACCAGCCCTCGGATAGTACTCGCGTACGGGCCCGCCAAAGTTTTTTTCGGGTAATTTAATAACTCGGGGATCTGAGAAGCTAGAAACCTGAAATCTTAGGTGGATGTTCCCTGTCCACATCGCTACTAATGAGCTCAAACCCAGCCTCGGGACAAGCGTGGTACCCGCGTAAGAGCCCACAAATTTTTTTCCGGGTAAGTTAACTCGGGGATCTGAAAGCCAGATAACTGTAATTTTAAGAGGATGTTCCCCGTCCAAGCAAGTTTCAACGAGCTCAAACCCAGACATCGGGTATGCGTGGTGCTCATGTGCGGGCCCGAGAAATTTTTTTTCCAGTAAGTTGCTAACTCAAGACCCAGGAAAGCAAGAAAGCTAAAATTATAAGGGGGTGTTTCGTGCCAGTTCTGGCGGTCAGTCTTAATTTCTTTAGCTAGAAGCATTTGCCGAAAAAATCGATGCCGGTACCGACAAAAACTGCAGGAAACTATGCAAAAAATGCATCTTCACACGGGCAGCCAGTGCATTGGCCTGTTATTTTTGGATTGGTAAATGAATTATGAAAATTATAATATTCGTGCTTATGTAGCATCGGACGGTAGGGGCTTCGAATAAGTAGGTGGTGGGGATGAGGGACCGAGTTGCTGGTCTGAGGCTAAAGTTGGTAATGTGGGGGACAGAGAAGTGTTAAGATGCTGCCTGAAGGAAAGAGAGAGGCCACCTCGAGTGAACGGCTTAAACAGTCGGAAGAGGGAGGTGCAGGTGGGTGCTAATTTCCCCTCCGATCGATTGCGTAATCACTGAGCAAATTATTAATTCTTGGAAACGGTCCAAAAGTCTGGAAGACAGCCAACAAAATGATGCTTCATTTTAGAAATACACTGGGACGGCCAACAAGCTTACGCTTTTCGTAGTAAGCTGTTGAAGGTGCTCAAAAATGTGGGAAAACTCCGAACTATCTCCAATCTTCAGTCCCGTCCTTTAGGCGGCGTTTAAACAATTACGAAATATTAATAGATGTGTGCTAATTTTGAAAGTAGATATTGAAGTACAAAAACGGACATCTCAGTACAATGATTTCTGCTGGAACGCAGGAAAAACAACAAGAAACGCGCAAAAATGTTAGCTGCCAATGAGGTGATTAATACGAATTGAAATTCGAACAGCAACAGATTACGGTTAACAGATGGTAAAAATCAATGGGTCACAATTTCTTGCTCTGTTTCATCCCTTAGCTGTAAAAACAGACTGCATCCTAACATCTCTTTTCGCACATGATATGTAGATTGATTCCTTGCAGCAAAAGCACTCTATTGTTTCTTCCTAAGGCATACACAGCTCTCGAATTAGCACGCTTCTAAAAGAAATAACCGAGACTGCAACGCACCAGGTCTGCCGGTGGCGGCCATACATTTTTACACCAAACTTGAAGTAATGAGGTCATTAACTGCATGAATGGTTGTTGCTTTAGACCTAACCTAAGCACTTACTAGCGTAAATCATCGCAAATTTTGCAGTAAAACAAATGAACAATTTCCATTTAACGGCCGCTCTTTGAAAACGACCTCGCTGTTCAGTAAGCAATTTTCCCGCCAAAACTTTTAAGTGCCCGTACGACGCATACCTGGAGGCTGAATCTGAAATATTTAAGTTTTACTCGAACAGGGGACATTCCCCTAAAATTCCAATTTTCTAGTTTTTCTGATTCCCGAAATAGTACTTCTCCCGCCAAAACTTTTAAATGCTCGTGCGCGAGTACCGCTTGTACTGGGGAGATAAATTTAAAATCTTTAAGTTGTACGTAGGCAGGGAATTTGCCCTTAAAATTTCAGGCTTCCAGCTTTTCTGGTTGTCGAGTTAGCGGTTTTCCCGCCAAGTCTTTCATGTGTTTGTACTAGTGAACCACAAATACCTAGGGGCTGAATTTGGAATCTTTAGCTCAGACATGTACTGAGAATAACCCAGCAAAGTTTCAGCTCCCTGTCTCTTTTGGTTCCCAAAATCGCTTTCTCGCCAAAAAATTTGCATATTTTTTTCAATGCATCCGTACGTAAGACCCAGGTGAACGCGAATGATGGTATTAAAATGGGACGATTGCACACAGTGTACGCAAATGCTCTCGAAGCTTCAGCCTTCTAGCTTTTCTGGTTCTTCAGTTGAAAGTGGGTAACAAAAAGTGCGAACACACACACACTCAGACAGCCTCTTGCCAATATGTGTTTTTGCATTTGCATATATGCAAAAATGCATAATAAAAACGGCGCTGCTTGCTCCGTTTTTATGTGCGTTTTTGCATATATGTAAATTGCAAAAACGCATACTGGGAAGAGGCTGTGTGTGTGTGTGTGTTCGCATTTTTTGTCACCCACTTTCAACTCGAGATCCAGAAAAGCTAAAAGGCTGAAATCTTGGGGATATGTGCCTATACCATGCGCGACCATCCCCTTTTAATTTCATCCCCCGTGGATGCCAGGGTGCCGTGTACGGGCGCTTTAAAAAAATATGTAAATTTTTTGGCGGGAAAGCAATCTCGGGAACCACAAGAGCTAAGGAGCTGAAACTTTGTTGGGATATTCCCTGTGCATGTACTAGCAAAATATTTCCAACTCAGCTTCCAGATATGCGTGGTACTCACGCAAGGGCGTTTGAAAGTTTTAGGAGGAAAACTGCTAACTCGGGTGTCAGGAAAGCTAGAAAGCTGAAATTCTGGAGGAATGTCCCGTATCGAAGTACAACCCAAATATTTCAAATTCAGCCCTCAGCTATCAGTGGTACTCACGTAAGGGCGTACGAAAGTTTCTGCAGGAGAATTACTAACTCGGCAGCCAGAAGAGCTGGAAGGTTGAAATTTTAGGGTGATTTTCCCCTGTCCACGTGCAGTTTAAAAATTTCAAATTCGAATTCCCAGGTAAGTAAGGTATTCACGCACGGACATGTGAAATTTTTGGCGGGAAAATTGCTAACTCGGTATTCAGAAAAGCTGGAAGGCTCAAATTTTGGGAGAATATTCCTTGTCCAAGTACAACACAAGTATTTCAAATTCAGCCCCAAGCTATGCGTGGTACTTATGTAAGGACTTATGAAAGTTCCTGCGGGAAAATTACTAACTCGGCAACTAGAAAAGTTGGAAGGCTGAAACTTT